ATGTAATTTAGTACATAATGCAAGTATAAACCTCAAAATAGCACAAATAATCAATGTTTGAGTGCTAAATGCGTGCTATGAATATGCGCATGATGTTTGACTCTTTTTGACTACCTCTGTGTCTGAATCTACTTAAGTTTTGTCCTGTTTACTTTGTCCACTTTACGACCTCCATTTAGCAGACTTCAAATTCTTTTTACAACCTACAACTTTTAGCGCGAAGCCGCTTGAGCGATTTTCTGTGATTATTAATGCTAATAATAATTTAAATGTTATAAAAAGTAATTTCGGGTATGAAAAATATTACTTGCCTTTACCTCTCTTTTATTATAATTAACGATTTTGATCGGTTCATTACTGGAAACATCTCTTGTTACACCTATATCTAAAAAAGTATGTCCCGAAAGAGTTAATTTACTTTGGTGCAACGATACTTTTCGTAGAGTTTCTCGAGTCGGAAGTATAAAACACTTTGCGAAAGATCCAGCCGTTTAAGCAGTGCGGTTTTAGTCGCTGGTAGAGAAATTACGATGTCCGGAATCTTTCCTGGCGACAGTTTTAAAGCTAAAAACCGGAATCCGTATTCACTTCCCGTACTTTAGTTTCTGCGTATATTTTTTCATACAAATTAATCCTCTGTCGGAATTGAGCTGCGATATCCGGCGTTTTCGAGAGTACTCGACTATGATAAAGATCTGAATTCTTAATTATGACGTCACGAGACTGCTTCAAATGTAAGTTCTTTTTTTTCCGAGTAAAATGATTGCCTTTTGATTTTGTATCTACTCGCTTTCTCCTGGTATCGATAAGATTTAAACATTGTCTGAAACAAAATATAGCGTCAACGGTAATAATATATCGATAATAATGATGGTATTTTAGTAATTCTCAACTATTTTTTGCGAAACATTTTTATTAACGTGATTTTCTTGATTGAAGTATTGCCACTTAATCGGGGATTAATCAAATCGAAATGCAGTGCGTGATTCTGAAGTTTTATGATCGTGTTGTCGATGCAAATGTGCAATAAATCGCGACGGCGTTTGTCGGCATAGCGGGCGATGAAAGTGTCGAAAAAATTTATTCCGGTTTCTTTCAAGGACATATCCATATCCGTAAGCTCGTCACAAATTTCCCGTCTTACGAGACACGAAATAATTCGCGCGTGTTGCTCGTTAACTTATCCAGCTGTTGATTCTGCGCGAAGGGAAATATATTAGACGACGATCTTTGTTAATTAAAGTTAGAATTTGATCTTCTCCTTCAATTTATTCGTGATACTGCGCGTATCATTGACACAGCATTTTGTCAACCTCGCACGATTTGATTGTGTTAACCATGTTTGCGGACTCCACGTCACAGACGATTGGATGTATTATATGAGTACGTTGCCTACGAATGTGTCGTGCGTCATCAGCGAGCGCGATAATGATTTCGGTACGCCGGCTGTTTTGTCGTAAAGACGCGTCCCGTCTTTGTCAGCCCGGGCGTTTCTTCTTCTCGCGTTACGAACCTCCAAAGTTGAATTCGTAACAAATATTAATTTATTTCACTGCACATTCGTCGCAGCAACGATAACGATGCCGCTAATGCAGATAATAATAATAAATTCGAATAAATACTTTATTGGTGGCGAGTGTGGCGCAGAGAAATGTGCGCTGCTTAGTGAACAAATGAACGAAAAGATCCGGGTTTAAATTCACGGATACCTCTATTTTTTTTTCGGAATCTCCCGAAGGGAAGTGGCAGCCACCGAAAGTACCTTGCCATACACACCCCTTTAGGGGTATAGCCCTCCAGATGGGAGGTTTCCTTCGGCAAGGTTAGCAGCCTACTGAAGATGAAGTAAAACCAAATGCTCTCTCCCTCTCCCTCCCTCTCGTTCTGTCTCTTTCTCTCTCTCGCGAGTATCAGCGATATTATCAGCTGACTGGGAATCAGTTAAATCGTAATGCGATGAGAATGTGCTCCGAATTTTTGCGACTGTGCTTTCGGCGCAGATGCATAATACATGCGGTGGACGACATCGCGGCATGTTTCACAAGCGTCCCCGGACCGACTAGAACGAGCGCGAGACAATGCCGCGGCGCGACGGTGCCGCGCGCCGAAGGCCGGAGGAGAGTTCCTCCTTCTCTCCGTCCCGTCTTCCCTCGTGGCACATGGGTAGAAGAGGCTGCCACGAATCCGGCGCGAACCGGCTCGATACTCGCATTAGCCGGTGCAATGACTGGAAATTCCGATAAGTGCGCCCGCCGTCGTCGCCGTCGCCGTCGCCGCTGCCGCGCGCGGCGCTCGCGAAAGCGCGCGATACCGGATTCCTCAGTCACGACGACGACGACGAATCGCGCTTTTTTTGCGCGATGATGACGACGCCTCATCATTTTTTTTTCATTTTTCAAGCTGTTTGCCCGCGCGACCGTACGCTCGCCGGCAGCTGCTCTTCGTCGTGCGTTACATAACGCATCTTCGAGACGGATGAGTCGCGTCGCTGTATGTGATGCAAGACGGTACCGCGCACCTGTGTATGCGCACGGCATCGTCGCGAGTTTCGCGGAGTTAGTTTAGACGTGACTTGGTTAGATAGTTATAATTTAAATATAATAAAATAGGCTCGACAAGCGTATGGAGATAGCGGATACAAAGAAATTCTTGAATAAAATAAATAACAAGTAAATGGAAGGGGAAGTATCGAGTTGTGGCGTTCCGTCGCCGAAGTATCATAATTCTTTATTCTTTTATTCAGATTCTTGTATAAATTTCTCCTTTTATTCTACTCTCTCTACATGTAAAGTCCTCTATTACGAGATAGGTTCCTAATATGAGATAGCAGGTTTTCAACACCCAAGTTCAATCACAAATCTTTTTTTCGCAACGATCACGCGATCTAACAGGGGCAATAAATTCATGGTGGAATCAACTGATGATGCCTATTAATTTAACAGAAACCCCGCTATCCCATATTAGGATCCTATCTCGTAATAAGGGACTTTATAATGCCCCAGCTAAAAGACCTAATGCCCAAAAAATGCCTAGTAATGCCCAGTAATGCCGCAAATCTGTACACCACAATGCTCTCAGCGGTTTACCCCTCGGGTTTACCCTTCGTATTTTGCATTCTATTAGACTCAACTAATTAATTTATATATAATACTATTTTATATATAACAGATTAATGCTGTTGCTAATCAGCTTAAATTTTCCTTCGCCGCGGTGTACATTCCCAACAAGATTTATGATCTAAAAAGAGCATCGTTGAAGCTGGTCAAGCACGCGCATAATAATAAATTTGAACTCGACGCGAGCGAGCGTAAATGGCATTTGTTACCGCATCGAGAGAGGAAAATGACACATTTTTCATCCGCTGTCGTAGAAGGAAAGAGGATAAGCAGCAAACGCGGCGATTCTCTTGATTCACATTCGCGAATGCAAATATGAACATAGAAATTGTGTCACTTTATTACGATTTTTCCGCGCGAGAGAGAATACGTATTCTAAATTCAATATGTTGTAACACACGGTACGTGCGATACTACGTGCTTCGCGATGCATTCAGCTGTTGCCTAACTGCATTGTGCACCACGATTATTATCTTTCTCTCTATAATTTTTAGATCGCATTTCAAATTAAATGAGAAATTGGAGCGGTGAAAATTTGATTGAAAAATTTGTAATTTGATAATTATTTTATTTGAAATGCCAAACTGTATTAATTAAATATTGATATCAATCTTAATTATTTGAAAAACCAAACTATATTATTCCGTCTATAATGTTTAAACATGTGGAATCTATATTTATATGAAGACTTAATATTTCGCGCACATTCAAAGTATATTTGTCAAAATATTTGCAAAATACTTTAGTTTCTATCATTAATTACTTTAGAAATCACTTCTTCATTGCGAAATAAAATTGTCCAATTTTTAAATTGTTAATAGATCTCAGAATTAGTAACAATTAGCTAAAATAATTTTGCTAAAACTGTAGACTGTACAAAAAATTAGACTCCTGTTAGATGGCGATTGTGAAGTGAAGAAAATATCTAAACGAAATAGATCCAGACAGAGAATCAGACCAAACACTTCTGGCATATTCATACTACACATTTAGCACTTGCAACAGTGTAAATATGTATATGCTCCGAAGTTTATCTGTTACATATTGACGACACTAATTAATTAATTTACGAATTCAACTAATATATATATATGCACGTAAAATCTACAATCAAGTCGCGCTGCTAGTAAACTGTACCTACTTTATTCAGTAAAATAAGGAAGGTAAGCGAGAAAGATCTCGAGTGTCGGCGTGGATAGCTTAGTTGGATGAGTTCGCCCGGCAAGCGGGAAGGTTCGAATTCTAGTCCGCTATTTTTCTCGCTGAAAATTAATAAGGGAGATTGAAATGAATGCATCTAACTTTTTACAGATGTCAGAAATTTTTTTTCTGCAAATTTCGTCCTTTTCTAATATATTGCATATCTGCTGCACGAGCGATATCCGACTAACAATAAGACACTGGTCTGAATTACTTGTTCCTTATTTTCTGGACGAGACTGTAATCAATCATTATTTATAAATACAAAGTTCGTTTACTTGTACTGTATTTAGAATCCTGATTGGCGAGATTAACATTTGAATGATTAGATTTTCATCTTAATAATCATATAATTCTTATATGCGTAAATGCCGAGTCTTTATGTTAAATAACTTTTTAATTTTTTACCTTGATTGATTTAAAATGTTTAATTTATAAAACATTTATCATGATTCTTCTTTTTATTTGCCGCAAATTTCCGCTTTCAACACATTTTTTCGAAAAATATTTTAAGATTTAAAGAATTATGAAATGTATCTTCGCGACGCCATATATCGAGTGAAAATAAATACGCGCGTGGCGAGAGTGAGAGAGAGAGAACCGGCGGACGTCAGCTGTCTGTTCCTCGCGGTGGAGGAGAGCGAGATGAGGCAGGATCCGCGTTTAGAGCGTCTGTCGGTTACCTGGCGCTTCGTCATCGTCGTCGCCGTCGTCGCGTCGTTGGCGACGATGCTCCGGTTTTAGTAGTAGCGTCGCGACGCCCCAGGTCGGCCGGTCCACTCGCGCGTTCGCGCGCGTAAACGTGCGAAGCGACGCGATGCAAGGCGGCGGCGCGTCCGAGACCGCGCGGCAGATCGTCGAGTTCGAGGAGTTGGTGTCGCGGTTGGATCGCATTAACGACGTCGTGATTCGGCGACCATCGACAACGACGACGACGACGACGTCGACGTCGGTGCCGCCGCCGTCGCCGCCGACCCGAGCGTCGTTGCATCTCGCCGGCGCGGCATCGTCTCTGCCTTACGACCGTCCCGTCGCGGATGCAACTCGCTCGCCCGTCGGCGACGAGGAGCAACGGGTGCGCGTGCACCTCGGCATCGACGAGGATCTGCGGATGATCCTCGAGATGGACCCGTCGATCGTCGACGGGACGCTCGGCCCCACCTTGCCCGATCGCTATCCTACCGTGGCACGGTCGTTGCGCGCCACGCGACCGCAAGGCTGGTACTGCACCGATCGAGACTAACTCCTTAGTGTCTGATGTTCGTGCGCATTATACAGTTATTTTATTTGCCATTACTCTTTAATCCATCGCGCGGGCATTTTCATTACCTCTCTGCGTTGGTCCTCGGTCAAAAATCTCGAATTCAGAGCGTACACCCGGAAAAATCGAGGGGGAAACCGCTGAGGGCATTGTGGTGTACAGATTTGCGGCACTGCTAGGCATTACTGGGCATTTTTTGTGCATTAGGCCTTGCTGGGACATTATAAAGATAAAATAAAATAAGATGAAACAATATAAGATTAGATAATAAGATAAAGTAATGTCCACTGGGCACTAGTGGGCATTGGTGTACAAGATTTTGGTCAGCGGTTTCCCCCTCGGGAAAAATGTTTGTTCCAAATGAAACGAATTTGTCTCAATTTTGACCTTACTAGACTTTCATTTAATTTAGAAGAAATTATTTCTTCATTTTAACCAACGAGGAGAGCTCTCGCACATCACGCATTACACGTTACGATGGTTATACAATACCTATAACCATTTGTTCTCGTTTATCATCTTGGTTTTAGATGATGTAACTTGGAATGCCGATGCAGCGCTGCCGTACTTACACAGCGGTTCTCTTCTTCTGTCGTTAACAAAAGACATGAGAAGAAGGTCGCTTCGAAGCATTTGCGAAGCGGCAGCTTGACCGCAGCCATAGATACGCCTATACAGCGACTATTTGACTAATATTCTAGGGAAACTAAAGATAGCCCAGCTATTTTGACAGTTGCATGCGCGTGAAGTGAACAATATTTTTGTGTATCTGCCACGTAATGGAAAAAATATTGTATAGTTTCGACCACGTTGTGTTTTCATTCATGTTTTCACCGCCCCCCGTTTTTCGTTACCGTCTATTGTTTCTTGAGAAAATACGTAATCAAAAAATGAAAATCGATCTATTTCCCTGCGTTTTAATATTGCTCCGGGGCTCTCGAAGATCATTGACCGTCTTACTGAACGTAAAATCTCCATTCCGGAAACGGTGCAACGTGAATTCCTCGTTAAAAGCAGTGCAATTTATAGACTTCGATTTGTTGTCGCTCCTTTACGGAAGAAACGACGCGTACTCGTACAATCCGCCCATGGTTTATCGGCAACGTTTACGCCGTTGTTTCTCAGTTTATAATCCATATCGGTAGTCGACATCGCCGTCTCGAGACAGGGAACACCGGCTCTCTTCCTGCTTCTCCGCACTTGATGCACATCGTCTACGTCGATCGTAAACACTACGTCCAAATTTAAACGTCCTTGCCGCGACTCGTCACCGAATCGCGAATCGCCCGTCTCGGCCCGCGACCCGACACTCCCCTTCGACGTCTCGCTGCGAGCAGCGAGCGCGCGGTGCGTTTTCGAAAGTGCGTCAGTGCGCTGAACGAATTGCGCAATCTCGTCGATGTCTGCCGAAAATTCCTTTGTGTTCGGGGAAAAACGGGGCTAAGATCTTCCCGTCGGATCTCCAAAACTTCAAACGTTGTTGGCGACGGAGGGTTTTGCAATATTTTAGCTTCGACGTCTTTATTGCTCGCCGTTAAAATGTCCCGCGATGAAATACGGCAGCTTGTGTTTACCTTGTATCATTGCAAATATTTAAATAGTTTTACATAGATTAATGAATATTTTTTGTTATAAATTATCGAACGCTGCCGATAGTATCGTTGATATAAAGTTGCACGCGGAGAAAATTTCTCTTAAAATTTACCCTGAAAATCATGAGACCGTGCGCCCAGAAAACAGTTTGAAATCAAAGTTTCTTTGAATTTTTACCTTGCTAGACTTTTATTTAATTTCAAAGAAATTATTTCTTTACCTTAATCAAAATTTTATTTGATCGAGACTGAAGTCTCTAAGAGAATTCAAGCATCTATTTCTTCAAATCTAGCAAACGTTCTAGTAGAAGCAAATAAAAATTTAGTAGATTAAAAAAAACATGATTTCAACGTGTCTCATTTGTTTAACCTAAATAAATCTTTTTTCTGGGTGTGGGAACACCATGACATCTCACCATACATTTTATTTAGTAAAATGGATACTGGATACTAAGTTATAGTTACTATTAAAACGTTACTATTAATACGATTACGTGATTTTCGAAATAAATAAGAGAAAATTCCCTCCGTGTACGAGCAATACCTTGAGGGCTGTAATCAATTTCCGCGCGTTTTGCTCTCGCGTTAACGGCAGAAAATCGCCGATTAAGGCCTGATAATAATTGCGAAGTAATTAATTGTAACGTTACTATCAGCGACATTACTACGGTACTCGAATAACGCTTCTCCGATAATCGATCCAAAAATTCTATCGAGGCTGAATGGCGCGATGTTAAATTTAGCGCGTTACGTTCAACCGAGCCTGTCATAACGTAACATAAACATTGTGTGCCGAAATTATCTGAATTTAACCATCCTCCCTCCCTGTACAACACGCCGCGCCGGTGTAAACGCCCACCGTCTCACCATCGATTATCGGTATGCGTAAAATACATCGCGTAACGTAGTTTCGTACAATCGCGCACACGCGTCATAAATATTCAAACAATTTCGTGCCACTGGGCCGGCGGGCAGCGGTGGCCATTGAGGAAAAGAGCGCGGGAGGAAAATTACGAGCGCCGTCGCGTTGGTGGAGCTTGAAAATGAATATGGAAGCTACGAAGCCCCCAATAATAGCCGCGTATAAATTAACCGACATTTCTCCTTTTTGGATACTTGAAGCGCAACGGCCGAATCATCGCGCGCGCGTGCGCGCGCAAATTGTCTATCAGATATTTTTCGCTCTCGGTCCAAGTCAAAGCTACACGTGCTGTGTACCTATACGCGAGGAAATGTTTATGTACTACGCATCGAAATTCATATCGGTTCGCGTGCGGTCTTCTTGTACGCGCGTCTCGCGCTGATACTTGGACCAGGTCCAGATCGTAACGCGCCGCCGACGCTCCGAGAACAAGTCGCGATTCTGCTTTAGTCGGAACTCGCGTTTTTTAAGTCGCTTATATACAGGGTATACTAAAATCACCGGATATCCTTTTACTCACAGATTTTTTAGAAAATTTCAAGAGAAAACTTCCAATACAAAAATGTCGAGGCTATAATAGTTTTTAAATAATAAGCGATTATATTTCACAAGTGACAGGCCTGAGATTTCGCGCGCTCAGGCACGGCGACACGACGAGTGATAAGTGTTCCTATGAGTTTCATTCAATTCAAGTAAAAATTTGCAACATTTTGTAACTTTAAAGCGTTGCAGCTGTCAAAGTGGCCGATCAATATTAGTTATCACGAAGGTTGTTAGTATGCTAAAAAGAGCGACATTCGTAGGAACACTTTTATCACTTGTCATGTCGCCGTACCTGAGCGCGCGAAATCTCAGACCTCTCATTTGTAAAATATAATCGCTTATTATTTAATAACTATTGTAGCCTCGACATTTTTATATTAGAATTTTCCTCTTGAAATTTTCTAAATAACTTATGATTAAAAGGGTATCCGGTGGTTTTAGTACACCCTGTACAGCGGCGGAACCATTTATATATAAACCGGCGACAATCGTAGCCAATGACTTGGTGAATCTCAAGTAGACCTGTAGTTCTAATTCGGTTATTTTCAGCGTACTTGTAGACTGTAGCAATGTTTACAGGATTATCGCGCGTTATTTTTAGTCCTGCCTCTCTCCAAGTCAATTGTATCGAAAGTAAAAGAAAAATACGAAGGAAAAACCCTTCTGAGGGCATTGTGGTGTACAGATTTGCGGCATTACTGGACATTACTAGGCATTTTTTGGGCATTAGGTCTTGCTGGAGCATTATAAAGATAAAATAAGATAAGATTAGGTAAAATTTGATAAATAAGAGAATAAGATAAAGTAATGCCCACTGGGCTATTAGTGAGCATTGGTGTACAAGATTTTGGTCAGCGGTTTCCCCCTCGGAAAAATATGAGAAACCGAGTGAGTGGCGGTTACCGACAAACTGCAAATTAGTTTGACAACGCATTGGGAATGATAGAACGGTTCGTATAAAAGGGCGTTAAATTACAAATTTCCAAATGCGGCATCTAATGTCGTCGTTTCGCAATTTTGTATTCGGCCAGATACGAGCCGTTTGCCCCGCGGCCGTTTTCTCGCCTGACGAACGTTACAGATCCAATCATACCCCGACGGTACATAATCATTCTGGTTTTGGAGCTCGTGCTTTTAACTCGTACATTCATCACGTGCGACGACCATAGCCCCTGACTGTGCAAATTTCAGTTTACAACCATCACTGTGATTAATCTGCTTTGGCCGTAATAATAGTTCATCATATATTTTCAGTACTAATAATTTCGACGGGGAGGGGGAGCCATTTGCCATTAAGCGAAAAATCATTTTCCGCGCGGCATATTTCGCGGCGGAAGAGGGGAGGGGGAGGGGGAAAATTAACCGATCTTCGTTACGGGCCGCGTAATTCATGCGTGCGCGATTAAATTACAGGAGTCGTGCCCAACGGCCATCTTTCCGCCGTAAATGTTACGCTGACCGTATCGCGAATAATTTCTCGCTAAATCGCCTTGTCGCACGGGCTAATTACGTCGCGCGCGCGTGCCACGCCGGTCGCCATTCGCACGACCTTGTTCCTGATTTTCGTCCGGGGGCTTTCGATTACCTTCCCCGGTTCCGCTACAGTAAGCGAGAATGGTAACGGTAACGGTAACGCCGCCTCGGCGCTCTGTAACGTATCGGATCTTCATCTCTCTCTCCTTTCTATCTATCTATCTCTCTATCTCCTCCCGCTGGTCCCTGCATTTGCATAACCCGAATCCGTATCGCTCGATCGTCCGGCACGATTCACAGCCGCTGCACGTGTATGTGCACGTACGCGCCGAAGATTACGGTCGAGATTCCGCACGGTCAACTTGCGTAATTTTCCGACCAGCAAACTCCGCGTTTGCTCTCCGTATACGGAGGAGCTTGCGAAGGCGTA